ACAACTGTACCATACAAATGACAATGATCAGCAAACATTAGCTGCGAGCTCAATGTGTAGCAGTGTAAGCAGGTCGCGACATTGACGCGAGCACTTGGCATGCGACCCGCGCCGCGCCGCTGTCCGCCACCGAGCATGCGCTGCCAGAGGACGCATGTGTGTACACACTGCAGTCAGCCAGGACGGACGGGCGGACTGAGAGCAATCGACATAATCAATCGACTATAAACAAATAGACACTGATGCCCATTTTTCGCCTTCTTTACCATAAATCGAGCACAGTTCTTGACTCAGACGAAATAAACCTAGAGAGCGCCCTAGGCAAGCCTACAGCTTAAGCGTCGCTAATTTATTTGTCGTCGCCGCTACTCTATCGACACTTGCGTCTCGCAGCGCCCTGTAACCCGGCGCCCCTCTGTAACCTGGCGCCCCTCTGTAACCTGGCGCCCCTCTGTAACCTGGCGCTCCTCTGTAACCTGGCGCCCCTCTGTAACCCGGCGCCCCTCTGTAACCTGGCGCTCCTCTGTAACCTGGCGCCCCTCTGTAACCTGGCGCCCTAGGCCTATTTGCCTTAGGGACAATACGGCTCTGTCAAGACTTCATGCCGATTAGAACTTTGCGAGAAACATCGACTTGTACTAATATTATTCCCGATATAATAAACATATGTAAGGGTTATATCTCATGAACCGCGGCCTGACAGACTGTTGATTACATTTGTCACAGATTAATTACGTTGTGACTACAACATCAAATAAAGAAAACTAAAAGAGGTAAAAATTAATATTCAAGGAGGGCTGCACTATTATAACAAACGTGTTCATTCACAGATATATCTGTTATATCTTTGTGTTTACTTTTCGCCTCGCACTTGGTCGGTGTTTTTGGTCAATGAAAGACAATACAAATTCCAACTTCAAAGACTATATTATAACTGTCGTAACTACAAATAGACGAGTGCGCGTAAATCACTGTAAATAAATAAGTATCTGCTGACACGATGAGTAATTTTGTTGTGATCTTCCAACAGAGGACACTGTGACAGTATGACTAGACAGATTGCTTGCTATTAGGTTTTTGTTCAAATGACGCAGAGCCTATAAGTGGCTGGAGGTCACACGAACAACGCTAATGCTAACTTAATGACATCGGCTACTTGACTTCAACAGTGGCTATTTACTGTTTTTGTACATCGAATAATGTTCGGACTAATTGGAAACCTCTTCTGTTTATTGTTAATTGAAATAAAGTAACGTGTGGATCATCAGAACCACGTACATATACGTCTGTGCATTAATACTACACATACATACTATAATAGGTACATACATTCATAGGCTGTAGCGCACAGTGCGTGCACCATACATAGTAAGTTTCAGGAAATTTAGTACAGGAAACAAACAGGAAACGAAAAAAAAGTTTTATTATTTTGAAACACAAAGTAAGTACCCAATAATGTGGCAACGTTAGATAGCGTCAGTTATCAGTCACTCGTTAAACATATATTATTCAGTTTACTGTTCTGGTAGGCCCACGCAGGCGATTTTATGACTATGTAACTAATTACTTACTATGTATCTACGTAAAAAACCTATACTTGACAATAAAATGATAGAAGTTGTTACTTCACCATTGACAGTAGTAAAAAAAATCAATAAAACTAAATGTAAAGATAGTAGTAAATCCCTTTATTGAAGTATGTTCCTTCTGTATGTTTCTAAGCAAAATGAAGTCGAATATTACCTCATCCAGGCACCGAGCTAGTTCCATTCCAACTATTTTCCTCCTTACGATTCCCGTGTTTCTACTTATGTCTTTTTGTTGTTTTTTCGGAAAATTGTTAATTTCGTTTCTTATAGTAGTGACCAAGTGACAAACATTACCTAGTTAGTACGTTTTCTATCACAACGGCTCCACACACGATTATATCTTATTTATTACCTGATATAATTGGAGACGGTTACAGTAGAGTTTTCCTCCAATCCTGCGTTCTCCGCGTCCTCGGTCGGCTGACTGCTGAGTCACAGCCCCAGTAACATGGCAGCGAGCAGTGTGCGCTGCATTGAGCGTCACCTGCAGTCACCTCACGTAGCGCTTAGCGCTGCGAGCGCTTGTAATAACCGAGCCAGCGAGGACATGTCCTGATTAAGGATATCTGTATTGTTTCTTTGAGGGTTACAGACAATGTTTTGAATCGACGAGTAGCTTGTTTAACCGTGTGACGATGCCAGAGTGGAATACATTTGTCACACAACTCCCGAAAGGGTAGCCCCTACTTATTTCACAGGTGTTGTAAGAGCCGACTAATGGATGCTATGCTATGGACTACATATCCTTTTCCCATGATACAGAGATCGGGCAGCAGCTTTCTGTGATAAGCCTGAAGCCTGACTCTTTTTAAAAGCAATTACAGGCCCAATAATCCCCTTCCCCAATCCCTGAATCCTGATCTGATCCCCAAAAGGCCGGTGACGCACTTGTGTAACGTGTCTGGTGTTCCAGGTGTCCGCAGGCGGCGCCGATTCCTTCATCAGTTGATCCGTCTGCTCGTTCACCGGCTAATCCCATAAAAAGTGTCAGTAAGAGGTGTATTTATTCTAATTATTTATTAAACCTTATGTTAATAATATGCCAATTTTCACCGGTTGAAGGTTACTTACCATGTATTAATTTATAAATAGTTATTGTAAATACTTCAGGGTTAATAATATCTAATGCATTGTTTGATAACTGATGTATTGTTTACCATTCTCGATAAATTAAGTCGATAATGATTAGTTTGCATACTTAATGATGTGTTTATTTCGATTCGTTTTCCGACCTTTGAAGTTGTTTTTTTTATTTGGTAACCCTGCAAACTAGCCGACTGATCGCCTCACATCGACCGATGGTAAGTAAACACCAGAATAATTCTAACAACTATTTTGTTTTTGTTGAATAGGCTACCACCGGTAAGATTCCGTTCACAAGTTATTTAAATAAGAAATAAATATACTAATATATTGCCTGTAGGTTTTATTAGAGCAATAATCTGTTCCACAATTCGGGCGGTTCTTGTAACAGGCGCTATTTATAAATACTTCTTGGGATTAGTGTGAAGTACTTAGCGAAACGTAAACAACCCAACGATCGGTAACATTAACATCAGACGGCTTGTAACTTAGCGATACTAAGCACTCAGAGCGTCTGCGCGGCACGCGTTCGCCTCCCTCGCCGGAGTCTCTGGACAAATATATTGTATGATCTGTAGAATTCCGTGGTGCTCTTGGATAATGAGATTTCGATTAATGAAAAGCTCAATAATAATATTATGGTGACTCGAACTCCAAACTCCTAGTAGCCTTAGTACGGCAAGCGCATGTCACTCCCACACTCCCAGTCTCCCAAACACGAGGCAGTTATTGGAGGCACATCGGGGATTTTTTTACATTAGTTATAGATACCAATTAAATTGTGAATTTCTGCTAAAAACTATATGACTGCAGAGATTTTCTACTAAGATCGGTATTTATTTTAGTCATTGTTTTGGTTTCGTTAATAATAATAATATGTCAACATTTGAGACAATATTGAAATCTGATTTATTTCACAAACATTCTCATTACAAACGTTTTGTTACTAGTCTAACATACATTTATTTATTTATGAATTTGTTGCAAAAGTTAAAGACATTCAGAAACAAGAACTAGAAGAGACATTTGAATAATAATTCGGTACAGACAGACACAGGCACAGTACACGTCGAGGTACAAAACAAAATAGGTACATGGTTCTTACTTCTTACCTAATTCTAATCAGATAACACTACACATTAATCTTACAGCTAGGTAAAGGTATGTACATTCAAAGTTACAATTTGCGCTTGCTCTACTCAGATAGAGAACATAATTTAATTTGATGTTTAGTAAGGTCATTGTATTCTCAGAGAATTACACTGACCATCAAGTTTGGTAAACGTATCATTGCGTGTTATTATCATTTCTTTTCAATAATACAATTTTATTTCAATAACATGACATTAAATGAACTCATGTAAAACTGAATGATTACATGACCTAAATATAAACTGCAAGTTCGTGGGGTCCCGACTATTGTGTCGCAGCCGCCATCTTGCAAATACGAGTTCACAAAGGGTTACCGCTTCAAAATTGTGTTTCACTCAGATACGCACACTATAACATCTCTATAACAATACGCAATGCAAAATTTTTATATAGTTTTTATTCCATAAAAGAGGAATCTACAAAAGACAAATATTCTTACTGTAAGTACCTAAATCTCTCGTAGTATGGAGAGATGAAATTCTTTTTGTGGCGCCCAACGTGGGACGTTGCAAGTATGTCTACATTACATTTATCTATACACAGATCGTTGTTAAGGAGTAATGTAATTAAATTATACAAAATAATAGAATTGTTTACAAATTCAAAATAGATGAATAACTAGTTTTTGTCTTCGGTGTTGCTCGTGTATGAAAGGTGTCAAGGTGTCCCGTAACGCTATGTCCGCCTCTGAAGCTCTATTTAAAGTTTATGTACGTACAATACTTAAGTAGGTTCTAAAATTCATCAAAATTGGGATATTACCTTTTTAAAAAATAAATAATTTCTTATCATATAATCTAATAAAATATTTGAAAATGAGCACACCACCACTTTCGGCGACTGCGAAGTATGCCTACTTCGATAGTGCTATACTCCTGATACGTCAACATACAGAAGACATACATTAGTGACGAATTAAGCGTGAGCCCGACACACGTGGGGCATTACGAGTCACTACCGTATTAGAATGAGTTGTATTATGATGTGACATTCGAGTAATGTGGGATAAATTACTCAACGGCTCAAAGTCAACTCACCTCTCTCCATTGTAATGTAGGAGTCCAAGATTTTTATTGCGGAATCGTAGCGGTGACGGTGAGTGTCTGAGTTGTAGTGTGTGCGTGTGTGCGTGTGTGTGCTCCCCATACAAGCGTGTGCTCCTTACACTAGACAGAGTCAACAATGCGAGTACTTTACAGTAAACCGAGAGGGTCTCGTGCCCACCACTTCATTGTCCACGTCGTACGAGTAGTTTCTGTAATATTCTCTATAGACGCCGTCGATACTGATCGTGTTCGTGACGTACGTCGCTCCAGGTATTGGCAGTTTGGCGAACATGTTGTTGTGACTGTCCTCCATCACGGTGCTGATCGCCATGTTCGCAGTCGCGCCGACCGGCTCCAGGTCGCTGTAATGCATCCAGTAGTAGCAGAAGGACGCACGGAACCCGTCTGTGGAATTGTCCAGGTTTGATTGAAACATGCATGGGAGCGGGTACTTCGCCTTCGTGGACACGACGCGCAAACCGCTGATCTTGTACGTATCCGGCTTCATTGGCATCGAGCCGCAGCGCACCAGCTTCAAAGTTGGGTGCACCGCCAGTATACGCAGCTGCTCGGCAGTCATCGCCACCTCCACGCTAAGGCAGCGAATTTGCAACAGCAAGCTAGCTAGCAGTATTACCGCCTTCGCGGATATGTGAACCCTCCACAGCTCTAGCTCTTCCAGGTGGGGTGCGTGGGTGATCACCAGCTGGGCGTGTTCATCTGCGAAGCTCGTACCGCTCAGTGCCAGGTCCTTGAGGCCAGGTGGGAGTGTCGCCAGCATGGCGGCCAACCCCACGGGCGACAGACTGCGCGCTCCCGTCACATGCAGGCGCGTGAGACCGCGCGGCCGCGTCAGGTGCACCGCGCCTGCACCCGTCAGGTACCGGCACGAGTATAGTTGCAGTGACGTCAGGTTTGGGCAGGTCACGACAGTCTCGTACGCAGGATTGTGCAGCTCGCTACAGCGCAACGTGAGCTCGCGCAGGTCTGTCGCATTAATGAGTCTGAGCATACCACGAAGTGGATAGTTGCGAACCAGTAGGTACCCTTGCAAGTGCAACGCCTTAAGGCGGCCTTGGGTGGCCAACTCCACGAGGACTTTGGAGTGTACTACGTTGTTTAGCACCAGCGCGTCCAGCCTCAGCAGCAGGGGCAGCGTTTCCGAACCAATCTTGTAAGAAGGAAACACGTCGAGGTGGCGGAGACATCGCAGCCCGTTCAATGTGCCCATCATGTAGGGGTCCAGCGGTACGTCAACTCCCAAGGACAATTCGACCAACAAGGGGGCCTGCCGCACTATAGTGGGCACGAGGTCGAAGAGCGGCACGCGTGGCGGCATCTCGCTGATGATGTCGGGCAGCAGCACGTAGAGCGCGTGCAGCGAGTGTCGCACGCGCTGCAGATGGCGCGTGCCGCGCACCACGAGCGCGCGCCGCACCACCAGCGTGTTCCAGCGCTTGCTCACCAGCGCGCACGACCGCAGCAGCTCCAGCGGCCGCAGGAACCAGAAGATGTGGTCCAGTATTATGTCCGGCAAACACTCGATCGAGCTCATTGCACCTCTTTGATCACTTTACGTCTTCAGATGTCTAATGACTATATTTATGGTGACACCGTGTATTTAGGTACTATTTATATTATGGGTAAACTCACATGACAAATAAATGAAAGTATTATTATACCTACATGAGTGGAGATGGATAAATCATCTGCAAGTGACGCCGGCGGACTGTGAGTCTGTGATTAAACAGTGGGGGCTCGTATAGGGCGGCGCGACGAGTCGTTCAAGGACGATCGCGTTTCAGGTGCTGCATGTTATCTACGTAAGCATAATAACTGTAATAATTTTCGTTTTACAAAACATTGTTAATTTTAGTAAAAGTAAGTAAAATAAATCTGAACTTTGCTATGTTCACTCTTCTATCATTATATTTTTTAAACGATTTATCGGCCCGTTATGTTCTCACCTATTCTCGAAAGTCAGAATCTGGTATTATGACACTTTGATTGTGACGTAACTCTGTACAACTAGATTTTACAAGGGTCTGTTATTTTAATGAACACTATGCTTCTATATATCTATCATCTTCTGCTATTTCACTTGGCAGAAGATGATAGATATATAGAAGTCCGCACACAGAGGTGGTAACTGTACCTTATATATGTATAAGGTATATATATGTATAAGGTACAGTACGGTACCTTATAATAATATATTATTATAAGGTACAGTACAGTCTGCCAAGTGAAACTCAGCTACTATTTGCCAGAGCGCTCAGTGTTCGGAAGTACGTTTTTATGGGGGGGGGGGAGGTTATCAATGGCTTCTCCCGCCTTGGCTGAGGGCAGGGAGAGAGCGTCAGACTTACTGACTAAAAACCACCCTGTTCCTACTTCTGCTTCAAAACTTCCCTACCTACGTTTATTTATCATGTTGTATACCATTAGGTAGACGCTTTCCTACATACTTATCAAGAAATCAATGACTGATACGTAGTTGTAACAGTAAGTTGAAAAACAATTTACTGACAGGCTACAACTAACATAAATCCCAAAGCTTAAATCATAACAATATAAAAAGCAGCCTTCCAGATTTAAATGGTAACACGGTCATGGATAATGAGGTACTTATTGTACAATATGATAAGAATGTATAGGCCTACCTGTTTTTTAGATATTCGCAATTTACATAATTACAATAAAAAATCATGAATGGCAAAAACAAAACGTCCCGTCAAAGATGGCATATTGACATTTGACAGTTGACATTGACAATTGGAGTTGTACTGCAAAGAGTATAATAAGTATAGGTTGTACTGGCTCGTCCACGGCTCGGTTTTTACCTAATCAGTGTTTACTTATTTATAATTACTTTTAGAAAATGCGTTTGTTAACGTTTAGCTTTATAAAGACTTGCAAATATAGGAAGTTATGCGGTACCTTTCCTCGCAGCATCAGCGGTTTGGTGCAGCCCGACGTAATGCCAGTAACAGGTTAATAATAGCTTTTATTTACATGTTGTCATGCTTGATATTATTTCGTATGAATTCTATTACTTTTGTTATTTCCTAACAGAGTTTGTATCCCTAGCAATACATACAACAACTAATATTGCCCACACCTTTGTACACATGTCATGGAAGTAATAGGAGATAATAATTTTGATAAAGATAGTCGAAATAACAACTGTACTGTCAAACATTTAATTTTCGGCTGTAACCAGAAGATGTGCTATAGACAATAAATTGACAAATTAAATCAAATTTTTTCACAAAAATACATAAACATGCAGGCGCATGTTTTTAGGATGATAAAAAAATAGAATAGCTACATTTGATACATGTTTACCACATGCCATGACATGCAAATGAAAAAAAAAAACTACAAAAACTAAAAAAAACTTCTGTTTCAGGAATTCAATATTAAATTTACATTATTTTCATGTGTTCTCTTATTATAACTAGCAAGTAATGTAACCCAGAAAGGTAAATGAAATGGTAACTACAATGCTGTTTCTTGTTCAGCTGTAAAATTCACTGACACCTTCACTAACGTTGGTCACCCAGTGCCCCCATAGTAATTAACATGTTCAAATATGATGTTTGCCATATTGACCTCTTTCACAGGTGACCCAAATTTGGTAGACATCACGTCATGGAAGGAGGACGAGGAACCTGAGCTCCGCAGTGCTGTGCTGGCAGACATGCAGGTGTACCCTGATTTCATTAGTGAGAAGGAGGAGAACGCTCTGCTGCAGGAACTGGAGCCCATACTGCGGCGCATGAGATATGAGTTTGACCACTGGGATAATGTTAGTATTGAATACAATACAAGTGTGATGTGAAATATTGGTTGGCTCAAAGTCTGTCGTTATATCTACAGGCAATCCAAGGTTTCCGTGAGACAGAGCGTCGGGACTGGTCAGCGGAGAGCTCGGCGGTGCTGTCGCGCGTGAAGGCGCTGGCCTTCAGTGCGGCGGGCGGCGCGCCGCTGGCCGTGCTGCCCCACGTGCACGTGCTGGACCTGGCCGCCGCCGGACACATCAAGCCGCACGTCGACGCAGTGCGGGTATGCACTACCACTTCTTTATTACAAATATAAATATCATAATAAACCCCTACACATTTTTCTCCAGTTGAGACTTGCAAGTTTTCGTGCTTTGCACAAGGGCATCTCTATTTTATTGGACCATGAAATTCAAGACACTCTGCAATTTCACATAACACTTATGCCATAATTATGCTGAATATATTTTTTACCTCTAATAAAAAATGTATTGATGACATAAATACTTGAATGTCATGTACAATTAATAGTTGTACATGTAAGGTTGCAAGCCTTGCGGTCTTCTACAGGATACATTTTAGAGTGTGCGCGGGGGAATTGCACAACTTGATTCCCACATTATCATCGTACCACAAGACAATTGGTGAAGTGTCACCAATTCATGGTAAATGTCCCATCCACATGCACGAAGCATTTAGAATCAAGCTTCGTTGTGCACACTGCCAAGGAGTGGATTTCTTAGCCTGAGTCTTTATTTCCTGAAGGGTATAACCTGGGTGTCTTAGTTGTGAATAGGTTGCTTATGGGTCGACGTGCTCCATCGTAGGCTACATCATCGCTTACCACCAGGCGAGATAGTGGCCAAATGTGAGTCCCATCTAATATAAAAAAAGTTTTGTTGTTACAAATCAATGAATATTGTTGTCATTAGTTCTGTGGCAACGTGATAGCGGGTCTGTGCCTGGTCTCCAGTGCAGTGATGGAGCTCGTCCACACTGAGAAGTCTCACCTCCAGCTACACGCACTACTGGCCCGGCGTGCTCTCTACATCATGAAGTAAGTCTTTATAGCACTATGAACTTTTTCCATTTCATTTTGTTTAGGTAGTGATTATGATTGGAAGGTTTTTGTGTAAGTAATTATGGCTATACAGTATATATGCTAGGTTTTGCCTGATGGTTTTATCCTTGCATACATAATCAGGAGTATCAAGTGTAAAGTGGTAATAAAAAGTTAATTTTTACTGTATAATGTTTAATGTTTTGGCTTGTGCTGTAACATTGTGCATATATTTATGAATAATAAATGAGTATTGTAGTAATAAGTTTAAGTTCAGTGGCAGTATGTGGTACAGGGGCGCGGCGCGGTACTCGTTCACGCACGCGGTGCTGGGCGGCGCGCGCAGTGCGTGGCGCGGCCGGCCGCTGCCGCGCGCGCGCCGCGTCGCTCTCATCTGTCGCAGCGCGCCGCTCCGCGACACGGACGACTAGCTCATATCATCCACTGACGATTGCTTTTACATGACTATCTATCTACCACTGGTGCAACTTTACTGCAAAGTTTGTAATACTTTTCATTTCAATATCTTTAGTATTATCACATTTATCACCTCGCATACCTCTTAATTTGTATGTCCCATACAGTTTACAAGGTACCTGTATTTGTAATCCGTCTTCGATTCAATGTTATGTTAATGAGATTGATGATAATTTATTTTGATTTCCCTTAACTTACCGCAGTTAGAACATGTTGTATGACTGCATTGACTAGAGTTCGGCTAGTCACGATGACTTTACCAATTAAATTGTGATATTATTATAATACTAGATGTAGTTAGTTGAAATTATTTTCCATACTTATTGATTGAAATATACCTTGTTGTTGATAATAAAGTATTATTGTTGAATATATTACCTAATTATTGTTCCTAAATACATGTTGGTTGCTCCCAGAACAAAATATATATATGTTACAGCCAAAGTGATTAATTTGATATTATTCATAATGACTGGTCATTATACATAATACGTACATACAGAATTTGGTCAAAGTGATAAATTAAGCAGAATAGGGTAGACGACTAATTTTTATTTTAATGTCCGTCTGGTAGATTATTTAAAAACATTAGACACATATTGTTTATTTTCTTTCGGAAACGAATATTTCGAATATATATTGATTTGAAATGTCGCGTGACGTCACTTCTCAGTACATTTTATACTAAGAAATGACGTTTTAGCCCCCACTCCTAAACTTTGATTCGTTTTATCTAAGTATTGTTTTATTATATTTTTAATTTTCATGCCCTGTCATAATCCCCATTATTACTAATAGCTAGTCAATGTGATCACATTAACTTATGTATAATATCTTCGAAGACTTGAGAAAGTAACAAAACAAGCAGGTGTAAATGAGCAGGGCTGTTTTGAGATACGGCGCGGCCTGAGCGGATTGTCAATGTGAGACTTCTGGCAATAAGTAGTATTGTCGACGCGAGACGTTGTCGTCATGGGTGTCGTATTCATGGTTTTCGAGGATGGTGAAACCGATGGTGCTGTCAAAATGTTAATCCAAGATGGCGGCTGCATAAAATTTTCAATTTATCGTCATGAGTGTCGTTCTTATAGTTTTCGAGAGTGGACAAACCTGTGGTGCTGTAAATATGTAAATCCAGAATGGCTGCAACATGAAATTTAAATTGATCGTCATAGGTGTCGTATTTATGGTTTTCGAGTGTGGTGAAAATGATGGTGCCGTCAAAATCAAAATCCAAGATGGCCGCTGCACGAAATTTTCAATTTATCGTCATGGGTGTCGTTTTCGTGGTTTTCGAGGGTGCAGCCGCCGTGTTGGATTTACATTTTGACAGCACCGTCGGTTTCACCATCCTCGAAAACCTTAACTTGTCAATAAATTATTTAACGCTATTCAATAATGATGACCTTTTGACCTAAATGTGTGACTTGATATTCGTAAATATGAGTTGTTACTTCTTAATTATTAAGGCTCTTCACAGTTATTTCTATTGTAGAGATATTGACATATTGATTCTTTTTATTTGTATATTTAATATACAATATCCTAGATTTTATGTATTTGGACATGTACTACAAATATTTGACATTTATTAATTTGACATTATTTATTTGTATTGTATTCTATTTTTATTATTTTCAAGACATATTTTTTTTCTTATTTTAATTAACTAGCTTACTGGCGTGTTGGTACCCACTGTAAGCCAGTAAGTGCATTTTTAAAATAAATAAATAAATAAACAGCTAAACCCATGATGAAAAGATGTTTCGAGCAGCGGCGGATTTTGATTCAGCTATTCATTTCATTCATTTAAAAACGAAAGTTAAAGTACTAAACCTCTGAACACTTTACACTTGATACAGCGAACACAGCCAGCAGAGACATGAGAACTACAGAAGTGATAAAGGGGATTTGAAGAGGGATTTTATAATTAAAACAATGTACAACACTTAATAATAAAAAACCTTTTTATTTTATAGGAAACAATAGATTGCATCTACTTCTTGTCATCCTAATACGAATCCAAAGCAATAAGGGTTCAGCTTATTAATGGAAAATGGATAACCTATGATTATATTATAACTTGTGTAGTACCTAATATATTTGTCAAATTAACTAATATCATCTACCTGCTAGATACATGAAAAATAAAAGATTACAATATGTCTTAACATAGATATACAGATATAAACGGAAAACTTCCAAAAAACGAAGACAGGTGATGATAAAGCAGTTTTATATAGAAAAGTAAGGAATTAAACGTTTATTTTAAATAATAATACTAAAGTTGTAATCATTTACACAACGCTGGTGTTGCATGAAAAACACACAAAGACAAAAACGGTTAAAATAATTGTAGAAACAAATTTTTTGTTTGCGTTTTCGGTTCACACCCGGTACAGATAATTTGCTTAACTAATAAAATATGTTTGTTGCAAGTCTTAATCTACGTATTGACTGTAATCACCAATAGATGCTCCAGTCATTTTTAAAGAGTAAATAAAATAGTAATGCAGTGAAGGTAGATTACTGCATGTCGTCGAGGTCTGGCTTGTGGTCGTAGTTGTCAGTGTCCCTGTATTGCATGTCCTCCAGTTCGTCCACCTCCAAGTATTCTACCTCGCCCTCCATGTCCTCGCCCTCCGCCCACTCCTCGCCCTCCTCCTGAGATACGACAGTCAGTTACATGTTAGTATGTATTTATAGGGCGGGTGAGGTGAGGTGAGTAGATTGTAATAAAACCTGTACACGTTCGCGTTGTTGTACTGCGGGGCGATGTACGCGCGCGTGACGCTTCATAGCTGCTACTGATCCGAACCTGGAAAGCAAGGTAATTTTCATTTAGGAAAATATGGTTGATTAAATTTGACTTCTGTTACATTATAGTTGTTTTTGTTGATTAGGGTGATTATTATTAGCTTTCTAGGTGTATTGGAAACCGGTAACATCAGGGAGTACGTACGTGCGGCCGCAGTGGTCGCAGGCGGTGGAGGGCGCCGCGGGGTCGCGCGGCGCGGCGGCGGGCGGCAGGTCGGCCGTGTGGCACTTGCGGATGTGCGCCATGAGGTTGGCGCGCGAGGCGAAGCGCAGGATGCAGCCGTCGTACCCGCACACGTAGTGCAGCGCGCGGCGGTGGCGCAGCGCGTGCGCCGCCAGCAGCTCGCCCGACTCCAGCGTGCGGAAGCACACCGCGCACACGTGCGGCGGCCGCGCGCCGCGCCCGTGTCGCGCCGCCGCGTGCGCCGCCAGCGCCGCGCGGTCGGCCGCGCGCGCGCCGCACGCCGGGCAGGCGGCGGCGCGGCCGCGGCCGGCGCGGGCGGGGCGGCCGCCACGCAGGCCAGGCCGTGCGCCCGCAGCGCGGCGCGCGAGTGCAGCTGGGCGCCGCACGTCCAGCACGAGTGCGGGGCGGCGCCGTGCTCGGCGCAGTGCGCGCGGAACTCTGCCACCCGCTGGCACACACACATGTTACTGACATTCACTGCCCTGACTACCAATCCCCACAACATCATTAATGTTACTACTGTGACTGTGCGGTGCATTGTCGTCGCTACATGTTTGACTATGTAGCAACGACATTGCACCACATAGGTTTTGCAACGTAGCAAACATGGAATGTAATATTAATATCAAATAATAATTTAACTTTCAATTGAGAGTATTGAGACGTTCCTATAGACCGGAACAGGACAATGACTATGTCGTCGACTACGCTCTTAAAAATACATATGTATGTCGAATAGATGTTACAGATAAAGTGATAAATTTGATATTATTCAGAATGACTGGTCACTCTGGTCAGTATACATAATGTCTACACAATTTGGTCAAAGTGATAAAAGAAGCAGAATTAATCACATTGACTAGCTTAATATCTTAGAAGACTTGGATAAAGTAATAAAAAAAGCAGTTGTAAATGAGCAAGGCTGTTGTGCAATACAGCGCGGCGGCTGAACGGATTGTCGATGTGAGACTTCTGCAATAAGTAGTATTGTCGAACTCGATGCAGACCCAAGACGATAAATTGAAAATTTCGCACAGCCGCCATCTTGGATTTACAATTTGACAGCACCATCGGTTTCACCACCTTCGAAAACCATCAAAACTAGACCCATGATGAAAAGTTGAACATTTCTAACAACGGCGGATGATGACTCAGCCGTATTCATTTCGTCTAGTCATCATCGCCGGTGTCCTCGCGGTGTTTGACAGTTTAAGCCTCCATTTATAATATCTGGATAAAGTGATCAATTTATCACATTGACTAAGCAATTTGGTTAATATGCATAATGACCATATACAGGGTATCTCTAAAGGCACCAGGTGATCGGCAAGGTTCCTACAGTTATAAAAAAAATATTTAAAAAAATCCAAGTTCGATAGTTTTAGTTTAAATTAGTACAATGACTTATGTCTTATCCACGAAAAAGTACAGCCTGTGCCAGTCTTTGACTATTGTTAGTACAAAGCTTACTTTTTTCGTCTAGGTATTTTTGCTTACGTTATCCTGAATAATGCTTCAGTGAATCATAAATTTTAAGCCAACTGCTTTAGTTTGGAAAAGAATGTCGCTTTTTGACGAACCAAGTGTTCATAATTTTATTTTATTTTATTTTATTTTTATTTATTCAGGAAACAGACAGTCTCTTACAAATAAAATTATTAAAATACAATGTGATACATACAGACCTAGAGTTCCATAAAACAATAATATACGAAAAGGCACTGTTTTTAAAGGTGTCAAATCAGTAGTGTACATTAAAAAAAAAAAGAAAAGAATTACAGAGATAAAGTTTTTAAAATGATAAACGAAATTACATTCCTATAAAATGACCGTGATATTTCTGCTTAATTTTAGATTTATACACATTGGTACTGGTATTAAATATGTCTAATTCATTCAATTCTTCATTATAAGTGTTAACACTGCGTTTGAAAAAGTTGTTACTTGTGTATATTTTTCGATAAGAGGGTACTGAAAATAATGTTCGCAAGCGGGAACCATGTCGGGGCACTCTTAGATATATTTTTTCTAATAGTGGGGGTGAGTCAATATAACCATTAATTATTTTAAAAAGAAACATTTGATCAAAGTACTTTCTTCTGTCAGAGAGCAATGACAAATTGTGGTATCTTAACGAGGTCTCATAAGATACATGAGGGTGACAGCAGCGGTAATCTAAGCATCTAATAAATTTCTTTTGAATATTTTCAATTCGGGTGATGTGACATGCATAATAGGGGCTCCAGATGATACATGCAAAATCTAATAGAGAACGTACAAAACTAAAGTAAAGTAACTTTAAAGTACTAGCTCGTTTAAATGGCTTTGAAATTCTTGTAATGCAACCAAGCTGCCTGTACGACTTTGATCACATGATCGATATGTAGGTTAAATGAGAGTTGTGAGTCCATCAAGACACCCAAATCACGAACCGAGTAAACTCGACTAAGGGATTCACCATTAATATGGTAGTTATAGTTCACAGGTGTACGGTTTCGAGTGTATGTGATGATGGAGCACTTATTTAAGTTTAAGTAAAGTTGATTCATAGAGCAATAACTAAAGAGCCCATCGAGATCGGACTGTAACTGTAAACAGCAGTCCACTCCAGAAACAATCCTAAAGAATTTAGCGTCATCTGCATATAAAAGAAAATTAGATGTTTTAAGGATATCTCCAATGTCATTAATATAAAGAATGAATAACAATGGCCCCAGATGTGATCCTTGTGGAATACCAGATGGGATCTCCAGAAAACTAGAAGTGTAACCCTTTAGGAATACGGCTTGAGAGCGATTTTTTATGTATGAGCTAATCCAACGAAGCAAATCACCATGTACTCCAATTCTCCAAAGCTTCTCAATAAGCATATCGTGATTGATTTTGTCAAAAGCTTTAGAGAAGTCCGTGTAAACAACGTCCACTTGAAGTCGTTTATCCATAGCATTGACTAGGTAATCGGTAAAATCAAGCAGATTAGTTTCCACTGACCGACCTCTACAAAAGCCGTGCTGGTTTGGGGATATATGACGCTGCAACAATCGTGAAAGCTCACTCGCTACAATTTTTTCTAAAATTTTTCCAAGTAGGTTAAGTTTGCTTATCGGTCTGTATTGCGTTACATCGTCTCTTCTATCACTTTTCGGGATTGGAGTAACTAAAGCTTGTTTCCATATTGTAGGAAAAATACCATCACATAGTGATTTAGTATAGATCATAGTTAGCGGTGGGAATAACTGAGTTGCACATTTTCGGATAAACAATGGATGAATACCATCATGGCCAGCTCCTTTATTAGGATCGATGGCTTTAAGCTCCTCATAAATACGATTCTCGGTCACGGTTAATACATTAATTTGTGCTTGAGAGTTCAAAGGGGGATTATCAAAATCAAAATTTACGGGACGGGCTGGGGAATGAATATAAACCGAATAAAAGTACTCATTGAAGAGCCTGCAAGTATCTTCACCAGTGCTAGAAATCGTCTGTTCATATTTTACTGTTGTAGGAATTTCACTATTTAGAGACTTTGATTTCACAAAGGACCAAAAATATTTGGGTGATTTATGGATTTGATCTTCACTTAGTGTTATGAATTTGTCATAGTCGGCCCTTTGCAACTTACGCTCCCTCTTACGAAGACTAGAAAATGTTTGATAATCCAGGAGACTTCCGTAACGTTTCCATTTTGCGTGATACTTCTTTTTTTCTTTGGTTAATTTAATAAGGGGTCGGCTGTACCATGGTGGATATCGGTTTGAGCTCGACACTATGCGAGTTGGTACATGTTGGTCAATCACTGCATTAACAATTCTATAAAAATTCCCAACCATAGTATCAACGCTACCAGCAGCCTGGAGCTCCGACTGCCAGTTAACCGAAGCAAGTGCTGACTGAATGGCGTTATAATCAGCTTTGTGAAACAGCCTTCTAGTGGTACTTTTCTGAGGAAAGTACCACTAGAAGGCTGTTTACAGTCACTTAAATTAAGGTGAATAATAGATTATTCACCTTAATTTAAGTGACTGTATTGAAAAAAAATTGTACTGCTGTAGGTTTCTTAAGGGATGGCAAGACGCATGTAATGCCCCAAGTGTTGCAGGCGTACATAGACCACGGTAACTGCTTACCATCAGGTGGGCCGTTAGCTTTTTTGCCACCGTCGTGGTATAAAAAAATAAAAAATAAAAAAAAGTAGTGGCAAATTTCAAAAAAGTTAGCACATTCAATAAGGAATCTAAAATGGTATGTCACGCCGTACATTATTTCTTAATTTGACACATTAAAAATATTTTTCAACAAAACTTCGATTCGAACAATTTATTTGGACTTACTAAAATTAATTCTAGTGTACTCAAAGCGCACCCAACAACCTAGTATCCACTAGGTAACACTTTGTAGGCGACATGCCATAATCATGTTATTAAAAATGTTGGAAATCATCAAGGGTCTCTAAAATAACATTGTCTACTCAATTACTCATGATTCCGGCATTTGAATATTGTTGGTATAGAAACAACTGCTGTGGATCACTATTTAGTATAATGTAAGAAATAATACAGACGTAAAAAATAGGACTGTAGCAGCATGAGTCAAAAGACTGGCACCGGGTGAACTTTTTCATGGATACCACATAAATTCATCATAATTTTTTTTATTTTTTACTGATAACTGTTGGAACATCATTGCCTGTCACCTGGTGCCATTTAATAGTGGACTTCAGGGACACCCTGTATAATGACTATAAATAATATCAAATTATTCACTTTGGCTGTTATATACAGCCTTGGCCAAAAGTATTAGGCACCCTATGAATTATTTCATATTTTTAATTTAGAGAGAAACAAAAGTACTTTCGTTGATTAATTAACTTTATTTCTATTAAAAACACACAAAAACATTAATATTTTGTTGGATCACCCTTTGATTTTATTACAGCAGCAACTCTGTGGGGTATACTGCGTACAAGGTTTACGCATTCCTCTTGAGAAATAGCTTCCCATTCGTGAACTAAAGCATGTTTCAATGCAGTTTTTGATGTTGTGGAATATATTTTGATGTCTTTCTTTAAAATACCCCACAAATGTTCAATTGGATTTAGATCCGGGAACTGGGCAGGCCAATCTAATAGGGCAATACAGTTGTCAGTAAACCAGTGCAACGTGTCGCTGATTTATGACAAGCCGCGTTTTCCTGGTGAAATTTAACCCGCGTAAATTAGTGATACCAAAAATACACTAATTTGAAGGTATGAGAGCACTTTCTAATACATTTATGTATTTTTCACTGGTTCATGCGACCTTCGTAAATGCACATTTTGCCAACTTCATTCACAGCCATGCAGCCCCAAATCATTACGAGGCTTCTGCCGTGTTTTATGGTCGGGACTACGCAATCTGGGTGATATTCTTCGCCACTGCGTCGCCTCACAAACGTCACACCTGGTTTCCAAATACCTGAAATGATAAAACAAAATTGACACAATACAAATCTTTATAACATTTGAGTTTGAAGACTAATACAATAATAATCGTTGCAATTGTGTTATAGACTCAATTAATAAAACTTACCTCAAAGTTTGATTCGTCGACCATAGTACATTGGACCAATACTCCTCTGTGAAATGTTGGTGTCTCAGAGCCCAACCAAGACGTTTTCTTTTGTTCTCTACTGAAAGACACGGCTTCTTTCTGGCTTTGTTACCTTTTAAACCTGCTTCTATTAGCGTTCGTCTTGCAGTCCGAGCACTTATGGATTTACCAGCCTCTTCAGTTAAAGCTGCAGCAAACTCCAAAGTAAATTTTTTTTCGGTCTTTGATACGCTCGCAGTTATGTTTCCTGTCCTGGTGGCTAGCAATCACGCTTTTTCTGCCTGTTCTTGGTTTATTCGCATTAGTACCAGTCCCAGCAAAATGTTTAATAGAAGATTGAACTGCGCATCGCGAATATTTTACCAACTTCGCAATTTCTTTCTGGGTCTCTCCTTGCTAATGTAAAAGTTTGACTTACACACGATTTTAAGACAAATTTCGTTTCTAATTAGCATTTCCAAATAAATTTGTTCTCTATTTAATCAAAAAACTACATATGTTCTGTCTTTATGCGAAGACTTCCAAATGCAGACTGATCAAACATTAAAAGTAAGTTTTGTAAAAAAATAATATTTCATTATTGATGCACCATATGTTATACAACCACTTAAATATTACCGCCCAATATCTTAAATAGTGGTTTATGACCCCGAGACCATCTTTCAAAAGAATATTTACTCATTGTTTAAATAGCACGACTGCACAGGAACTTTATTGGGGGTGCCTAATACTTTTGGCCAAGGCTGTAGATAAAACAACAAGCAATAGAGATTAAATGAAATGTGATATAATGCCACAAGTACCTGAAATGACAAAGGACACACGGAGCACTGATATACAGACTCTCCGCGAGCATTGCGTGCTCGCTCGAGGTCCTCGTCGTCGGCGGCGGCCGCGGCGGCCAGGGTGTCGCGCTCCACCATGATGATGTCCTCCTCTGAGTACGCTCCTCCTGCCCCGGCACCCCCCACTACTATAAATACGTCAATTTTCTGTGTCAGCTCATGCAATCTGTAATCATAAAGATCGAGTACATTAGCAATATATGATTAGATTTTAATCACTAGAATGTAAAATTAAATAAATCAATGTAAACTACCTCCTCCGCAGTGCTCGAATCTTCTCGCTGAGTGGTGGGACTCCTCTGGCAGACAGTGCTGTGCTGAACTCGTACGACTCCATGGTGCGACGAATGCAACTACCACACAGTCTACCTTCTGGCACCACCTTACATAAAATAACACATTTTTTCATTCTAGTTTGCATCTGATTGTGTCTACTGAGGTTATGAAATTGTTTTGATTTCGAACCACGCTCGTTTCTCGTTTATCTGTTTACGTACCTTACTAGAGTTGAGGTGCACAAGCATAGTGCGCAGCGGCACCTGCATAGGCGGAGCTCCAGCGTCATGTTCTTCAGGGGACAGCAGTTCACCGCCGCCGCCACATATGCAACAAGTCTCCACTTCTAACTCTACTTTCATCACTTCTGTTGCCATGGTTTATTTTTCTAAGTCCAATGCTCTTCTGTTTAACACTACGTGTTATTTATGATCATTAATTATTCGCGATAATACGTGTTGAGCGCCTTTCTAGTGGCATAAAATGCTAAATTCAGTTTGTTTTTGGATTTGACATTTTACTCTATGTTTGACAGTTAATAGCATTGACAAAACCACAGAACAATGATGCTTACGTATAATAGACTATGGAATGAAAATAGATCAGCACATTTTGAATAATTAAAACCTAAATCATTTTAAACGATTTTGACTGATGAGTCAACATGGTTGTTTAAAAATTATTCAGTAAAATATTTTCTGTCCATGAAAAAACTAACCATAATAAACAGGTAAATAATATCTGTGCCAAAAGTACATATTATACTCTTTGGTACAAATAATATTCTATAGTCTATGCTTGACTGAAAATTTGTTTTGTTGAGTTTTTGTAGATTGTCAATATTTGTGGAATATTGTTTTAATCCAATTTAATCCTTGGAAATAGTGTTATTTTGTTGTTTAATTGAAGTGTTTGTGTAACTACATTTTTCAAAATGTCTATTGGTGTTCCTATTAAAGTACTTCACGAAGCGGAGGGCCATGTAGTGACTTGTGAAACGAATACCGGAGAAGTTTATCGCGGGAAGCTAATTGAAGCCGAGGATAATATGAATTGCCAGATGACGCTTGTTACCGTAACTTACAGGGACGGACGCGTCGCCCAGCTGGAGAATGTGTACATTAGGGGCTCAAAGATTAGGTTCCTGATATTACCTGACATGTTAAAGAATGCACCTATGTTTAAACGACAAGGGAATAAGCCTACAGCCGGGCGCGGCAAAAGTGCAATATTACGTGCACAAGGTTTGTATACAGCTTGTGTGGCTAGAACAATAATAATAACACATTGTTTTAATCATTGTTTAGTTGTTATGAACTGATGATAATAACCTATGTTTTGTAATGACGTTAACTCAATCAATCTTGTAGTCGTTCGGTATCCTTTGAGGGCGTTGTAACTAACTAAATAAAACACCATGATACGTCTATGCTCTATATTGATTGGCTACATACAAGGTTTATTCTCCTTACAAATAACTATAGCAGCTACTCTGCACAGATAGCAATGTAAACTGAATGTGGAATGGAAGCCTTCTTATTTGTTATGGTGATAGTGTACTGTCACAATAATCATACTTATGGTTTACGTGGTTTTAGATCTGGTTATGTTATCAGGCTTAAGAAAACCTTATTAGTTTTAGCCTAACCTAGTGCCGTTCATAAGACCATGGAAACATTTTGAAAATGGTTTTAGTTGTCTGAAACAAAGATTTCACTTTGACTTATTCCGAGTGGGATTGAACCCTGTAACAAATGCTGTAACCTTTTGGGTTGATATTTACTATACAGTAAAGTTCTTGGGTTTTATTAGGAGTGGTCATTTAATATTTGTCATATTTAATTTTTTCAGCTGCTGGTCGAGGTCGAGCAGGTGGCCGAGGCGGAGGGCATAGAGGAGGCTGGCAGGGTGGATCTGGACCTTCTCGACGTTAGACTGGTGTCTATGATAGTCAACAGTGATAATATTAATATAATTATTATTATAAGTAGGCTAACATGGTTTGATTAGTGTTAAGTTCCCTTTTTATGTTCATTGTTTTTCAGTATTTAACAAAATTTTATGGAATATTGAAAAAGTTTTATGCTAGAAATATTACAGTCAGTCTCAATAACCTTGTTTTCTTAATATGGACCTCAAAAGAGTTTTATCCTGTGTTGTGTCACACAGACACATCACATTCAGATCTGGAATGACACAATGCTCCTTGCACAAGTTGAAACTATAACCCATGGAAGTTATCTTAGAATTCTATCTCTAAAAGAGAAAATCAACAGGTAATTGAGTCTGGCTGCTCATGTATCGGCTGAATAGCCCCCAGCGGGCCGGCTGCCATTTGTGATCTATGTGGATATAACACTGGTTGTCATGTAAAGGGACCTCAAGTTTGTAGCAAGTATCATGTCATTGTGTACATGTGTCAGAGATCAGACCTGTGTGTAATTTTAAGGAATAAATTCTTTGAAATTAATTTATGCATTTTTTAATTACACTAAACTGCAATTTTCTATCACTCAAATAACGGCATACTACATGTACACAATATGGTTGTGTAATCAAGGTAACTAGGAGACCTGATAGTCCTCTATACTGAAGAAGCAGGAACAAATAAAACCACATTCACATACTGTACAGATTTATTTATCTGAACTTACACCAATTAGCACAAGATGAATCTGTGATAACATTATAAGTCAGTGTGACAACGACTATCCTTCAGATTGAGGGATTGATCCATCGTGCACCGAGAGCTATACAAGTACAGACTACATCTAAACATAATCACCACACGCTTAGCTAGGTCTGTCACCACGGGCGGTGGGGGCGCCCTCTACGACATAACACTACACTCTATTATCACAATACGTCCCTCTAGATGAAGCCATACCATAACTTATTTTATTCGTTTTTTACAGCAGTTAGGAAGTGAGTCATTGCACCCATTTCATTAAATAGGTACTCTATTTACTGCAATGCTGCAGTGCTTTATAAATAATAGAAGGCAGGACCCTCTGGTTGCCATGGAAGGAGTTACTACAGCTCGGTATAGTGCTTGTCATCATCAATGATCAAGTTGTATGTTGTGATCCCATGGAAACTGTCAATGTGAATATTTAGTTTATACTAAATATTACAGAGATGTTACTGTCACTTATTTAGTGACCCACTCTATTCTAGGTTTAAATATTAACTAGGCATTCTACATAGTACATTGTATTTGCTGATTAACTTGCGTGCAAGATAAATAATGTAACATTTATGCCTATTTACACTTACGTCCGGGTAGTTGGTAGGATAGAAGCTGAGTGCAACTCATTTCGTAACAAATACCCGACTAGGTCCAGCCTTAACAATAAACCACCCAAACTGTGTAGTTGGTCATTAACAGAGTGGCAGGTACCACAGTACCCACGCTACAGGTACACTACGCAGCGGTGCGGCGAGCACCGCGGGTAGGGCACCGAGCTCACAGGTCGGTCTTGTCCGCGGGGGCGCGGGCCGGGGGCGCGCTGGGGGCGCGGGCCGCGGGCTCCGGGCGCAGTGCGCGCACCAGGCGCTGCGCCGGCAGCTCCACCAGCAGCGCCAGGGGCAGCGCCGCCATGTACGACACGGCGGCCACACCGAACCACTCGGTTATCTGCCAACATTACATTATGCTCTGAAGTTCCGCTGACATTACAAGAAGTAGCGTTTCGTATAAGCTTAGAGACAGCTGCGCGATATTACCGCAGCCTGCCGGTCCAGCATGGAGGGCATGAGGCGCGACGCCACCAGCGCCTTGTTGATGGGCATGTGTAGCAGCAGCGCACCGAAGGACAGCCGCGCCCACGCCGCCCAGCCCGGCCATGAAAGGCAGCGCTTCACTGCAGCTGTGGACATGAGACGCGTTTTTTTATGTAAGCTTACTTTATAAATGCTGGAGAAGGGACATGAGCTTGAGTTAGTCGAAACCAGACTCACATGGGATTCCATTCATAGCGCCGAGCAGTGCCATGGCCACGAAGAAGGAGAACACAGGTCTCTCGAGGGCAGCGAGCGCGGCGGCGGCCAGGCGGCCGGGCGGGCCGCGGCCCAGCGCCAGCGGGGACGCCGCCACCCACCACGCCGCCACCGGCACCGCCGCCACTGACAGCCAACCGAATATCTGCAACACAAACATTATACTTCTTAGCCACAACTACATTATCCACTACACATCATCAATCTCAAGCATAGTCATTACACATTACCAGTACATTGTCGCCGCCCTTGTAACTAGCGGGTGGTGCTAGGTACGTAGAGGTGATATTACGATATTACTGGTATTAGTTTACAATGTAATAATCACATCAATAAGACAGGACGTGTATGCTTCCACAACAATAAGAGAGTACGCGTGCATGACGGAGGTACTCTATGTACGTGTTTATAGGTAGGTAGTAGATTTGAGTACATTTTTTAAAGAGGTCAAAATCCTATTTATTTTTAGTTTAGGCTTAGAGTAGTGGTTACCTTGTAGATGTCTCGGCGTAGGTATGATATGGGGGGGGGGGGGCAGTATTCTAGTTAGGTACCTTGTACCGCGGCAGCTGCACGTCGAGGTCGAGCAGCACGTGGTGCAGGTGCGCCAGTAGCAGGCCGGCCAGCGCGCCCGGCACGTTGCCCAGCGGCGACTGGTACAGCACGTTGAACGACGGCTCCTCGCGGTACGCCAGCCACACCGACCTGCAAACATTACCACCTTCATTTCCAAGTTTGGTTTTCGGTTCGCAGTTAGGTCACCGTAACTTTAGGAAATGCTACGTACTATAGTCTATATATATACTACGTATAGCCCGTAGCGTTTACGAGGACTAATCGGGTTAGATTGACCACACCAGAACTTTTCGCAGATTAAAACAAAATGAGCAGGCATTAGCTTACTCGGGGCGATGCATGACGTAGGTAGGTACGAGGTTCCAGTAGTAGGCCAGGCCGAACAGCAGCGCCACTGAGCCGACCAGTAGCGCGCTCAGCACCACCACGCCGCGCGCCGCCACCGCCACAGCACCAGCGTCAGCGCCAGGCACACCGCGTACAGCTGCATGTCTGCTGCCAAGTACCTGCGAGACAGCGCCACTATGAATGACCATCCTGACTGACAATATTGACTGAACAGTTGGTCCGGTGGCTGGACAACTGGCTGCCGCGCAAAGTGTCGCAAGTTTGATACACTACACGGAACAACTGTTTGTGTGATCTACAGATTGTTGTTCCGAGTCTGGGTATGATGTGTATGTGAACATATGAGTGTAGGGCAACGTTTAAAAAAATGCTAAGCATTAATTCTTATTGCAGTGACAGTGAGTACAGTAACTCACCAGGTTTGTATCAGACACTTGTCGTCCGCGTACAGGATGTTGTTCAGGTAGAGTAGATGTGTCCACCACTTGCGGCGACAGACCGCGGCCTCACTGGCCACCATGGGCGCCCACAGCGGCCCGCGCCCAGTGCGCTGCCACCACGACGCAGCGAACCATACCACTACCCAGTAGGATGGACTCACCCTGCGAGACATATATTTTTGTGAACATCATGGGTTGGAAAGAAATATACCTTTAACTAGTGATATGGAGAGTGTAATTGTGACTGGAGGAGTCCAGTTCCCTAGCTTCCATGGTTTGACCTGATGATCCTGTTGAACATGGTGTCGACGAATGTGGAGAAGGGCGGCACGTGTTCCCCACGTCGGCGCTGCTGCAGCAACTTGTGTGCCAGTAGGAACGAGGACATTATGAAGAAGATCTGCACCACCAGCGTACTGTTCGTCATCAGAATCACGTCGATGGAGCCGCGCATCTGTCAAACGTAATATATGATTGAAATTAATGGAGTTGAAACTATACCTAACCTCAGATGTCAACTCATATTAAAATCTTTATGGTCTTAGGACAACTTAGAAAAGGTCGTGTAGAGATCTAGAGTAACAAATAAATGTGTTGCGGAAGCGACCTGTTCATATATCTTGGTGTCGGTGAGGTATGTCTGCGTGGTGATCCAGCAGACGTGCTCGATGATGACGACGAGCATGGTGAGCACGCGCAGCCCGTCGAAGCAGGCGAGGTCGGTGCGCGCGGCGCGGGGCGGCGGCGCCGACAGCGCGCGCCAGCACGCCGGCACCGACCACACCAGCGCCCACTCCAACCCTGCACGCCATCATGTAGGTACAGTTACAGTTACATATAATAATGATGTACCATGTAAGGAGTGTAGCCTCACTAGTGCTGTATTAAGTATTGTTTACATTAGTGCTGTTTAAGTATAGCGCAGCAGCTACCGGTGACCTGTGCAGATCACCCTTCTATTATTTACGTGTCACACTTAAGTATGTTAATGCAGGTACTGTAGAAATATGCAATAAGATCATCAGCACCTGTTACTACATGTCTCAGTTAGTACGGGACATAGTGCAACTTGTTACCTTTCCTGGCGTGGTCACTGAGTGTAAGATCCAGCGCGGTGCTGATGACGGCGAGTGCCAGTAGCGCGGCGAGGAAGCCTGCGAAGGCTCGCTCGGCAGCGGTCAGGTCTGGTGGAGGAGCCTCGCCGAGGGTACAGTACTCCAGCCGCAAGAGCTGCGCCGACAGGTTGTAGGCAGACAACGTGCTCGCGTTCACACATGATAAAAACCTGGAACGAGTAGGTACTTTTGTTATATTGTTTATATTCACAACACATATTATTCCGTAGGTCTGTATCTACTCAGTTCAATCTTTAATTATAACATTTCATTTGATATTTTGATGCTTCGTAGTCTATATTTAAACTGTTCATAGAAAAGACATCAACGCGCGCGTTATACCAACTTTAAAATCGTAGCCATTATCAAAACTTGTACTGTACTTGAACATTTTGGAAATAAATTTAGGGTTATGTTCCTTTCTAGTAAATATACATTACATTACATTACATTAATTTGATACAAGTCATGGTGTCGTAGTACAAAATTAAAAAAAAAAAACTCTGACCTCTGTACTAGGAAATACCTGTATCACAGAGATCAGTGCCCTCATGTATGGTATCATTGTGAGCCTAGTATAGACTTTACATAACAAATTAATTCAAATTAAGATCAACAAAAAGCAAACAGAGAAGACAAAGAATGTAATTAAATTAAATAAACAAAATGGGATGAAAAATAAATGGTAGTTATGTGTGGTGTGTATGTGTGTGTGTTTGTGTAAGAATGTGAAAGTGTGTGTGTGTGTGTGTGTGTGGTGTACCTGTGAGATTATGAATTTGTTTGAAACCTAACGCGTGACAGCAAGGGTGTATGCGAAAGAGAATGCACTTTACCAATAAATAAGTACTAAGGTTAGCCTAAGGATCTGGTGACTCCTCGTAGCTATAAGTATAGTACAGAAACTGTTCAGTACATACCAGTCCCGCAGCTGATCATCATGCAGGTCATGTTGGCGTGAGGGTGCATGCGCTGCGCAGCTGCGAGGTAGGCAGAGCCCGCGGTGCAGGCGTGTGTGGTTGTAGTTCTCCACCGTGTTCGCTGAGTAACCCTGCAGGAACACGTAATTATTAACTTTATGTATATACAGCATAAGGTTCAATTCCAAAAAACAGAATACGTTTTAATAAGGAATATTCTACAGCCGGATGTGGACCTATATAGTTGGTACTAGAAATTGCTAGATTTAGCACCAACACCACCTAGGTGACGGGAATGACAGCACGTGGCTCTCATTTACCTTAACCGCTAGTTATTAGTATTGGTCAACCGCGACTCGAACCCGGCGGTCTCGGCAGCCTAGTTGGCGATTGAGTAATAAGCTATGTCTGTACAGTCTTTTAATATATTAGAATGTAAGGTAAGTCTTATAAGTATAACATATGAACTAACGGCACCTTGTAAGTTACTTGTATGGGACTCGCATTTGTTTGACAGTTTGAACGTTAACCACTTGCCTTATCGACAATAAGAACTCCATACGTACCTTGTTTCGATTTAAATAACGATAAAAAATTAAAATATTCATGTAGCAAGCTATGACAATATGACTATTAATGAATGATTTGATGTTGACAGCCATCAATAGCCGCGAGGGGGCGGTACTGCATTGTCCCATATAGAGCGGCGCATGCGCAGTACCCAGTGCTCGCGAGCTCTTTAAGTTCAACGACCTCCCGCCACTGTAGCGATCTAATAATGAACCAAGTTACTGCAGGCCCTTCCTACCATAGATCTAATTATAACTTCTCACTTTCAGAAAGATGGCGAAGCCGTCAAGTTATGCTGCGTCACTGTTGCCTCCGTCATCCGTGCCGGACGTCCGGCGAGGTGGCGAGGTGGCGGCAATGTACCGAGATCTTACATCACAGTCATTGCTCGGCTGACTGCAGTACTTACTCGTACTTTTTCAGTGAATCACGATTGATTTTACGTAAAACTCAATCGAATCGATTTGTGTAACAAATAGACAAAATAGGTGATTACTCTAATGGTTGTGAACGCTGAGTGACACCGTGACAGCGTGACAAGTGTCACGGTATCGAGGTCACGATCTATCTCTGCGCATGCGCCAGATTCACTCGAATCCGTTCAGCCGTTAAGGCGATGATGTATTAACAAACAAACTTTCACTAAGTGTTAGCAGGAGAACGCGTAATAGTTATTTGTAGTGTTACACAATCGCAAGCACTGCGCCGGGTCTAGACGAGCGAGAGCGCAGCCTCCAGCTGTAGAGATGAGCACGCTACACACATACATACATACATACATGTACTAAGCATTGCTATGTATGCCGAGCGACCAGCGACCGGCGCCGGCGAGCCACTCGACATTATAAACACATATTTATTGCATAAAACACTTAAACAGGTCTTCTTTAATTAAATGTGCACAAAGCAATGTAGGTGCTGTCTCGTATTTACAAGTCTTGATCTTCTCTTCTCAGCCGCTTCACACAATGAGGAGTGGTCGTGGATTTTATTGTATTTTTAAACATTGCCCAACACCAGTGTTGTCGCCTGTGTCGTGGGTTTACAGTTTCACATACGCACACCCACATACCCACAGATTTACTTAAGACTGAAAGACTTATTCCGCCCGGGAATCGAACTCGCGACACGTTACGCAGCAGCCGGTTGCAGTCAGTTAATTACTTATCACTGACTAAATTATTGACATATAGTATAGAAACAGAGAAGCCAGGTGTTCCATATGTGAAGTCTGCAATAGTAATGAAGACACGGACCTGCATGAGGTCGTAGAGTGGGTGCGGTTGCTGCGCCGGCGCGAGCTCGAAGCTGCCGACGCAGTAGGCGCCGCGCGCCGCCAGGCAGCCCGGCCACTCGTCCAGCGCGAACAGCTGCGGCATCTCGTAGTACTGCTCCTCTGTAATTAATAACACCACCATTGACTTAGATCACAAACGCAAAGTTATCTGATAAAAATAAATTAATTAGGGTGCACCCAGACGAAACATAACATCAATTCGCAAATCTTCGTTTCTTTCCTTTAATGACAACCGGGAATTGGTAAATTAGATGAGAGTGATAACACTGACATTGACATCGAAGTGATTGACATCTTACAACCCTCTTTGGCCCCACATTCCTGTCATTAGTAATTACAAAAGTACCGCTAGGTGGTGGTAGTACAAGCGCCGGGAGCTACTTGTCGGGGACAGCGACTGACATTGACAGTGCGCGCTGTGGTGTGCCCGACGACATATTGTCATGTTAATGCACCGACCTTTGTATGCAGCGTGCACCGCGAGCCCTTACATCATGTATTACAATAAATATATGCGTGGAATAACTAGAGCTCGGGCGCTGTTATAAAATAATACATATAGACACGTTGTTTCTACATATGGCGATAGTGTACCCTTTCACAAAGCATTGAAACTAGCAAAATGCGGCAATAACACAAATATCCATCATTTCGCTTAGTTAATGGGCGGGTGAAGTAAGCCGCGGCGCGCGGGTATCGGGGCCGGCTTGCACAACGCGCGGCAACGTCCACGGCACGCGCGCACCACGCCGCGCGCCGGCCCACCTCCGACATTGTTTACTGACCAACTGCTAATGTCAGTCACATGCTTGATAACTACAAAGTCTCCATGGGATATAGATCGCTTCGACTATGCCATCAATACAGATACAGAGTCGGTCCGTATAGGTCACAACGTGCATGTAAACAGCACACACGTCACACGTCAGAAGTACGTGTACGTGATGAATGAACTGTAACTTGCTCAACACATCCTTTGTGGTGCGCCGGCGCCGGTGTGTGCGCCGGAAGTGTAAGGTCAATGTGAACGCGCTGCATATCGACCGGAATACAATGATAGTGCCGTAATCTACATAACTGTATTAAATACGTGTGGAACTCGTTGCCTGTCACTGTACATATGTTAATGTCTAGTTTAGAGTTGGGAAGAAACCTAACCGATTTAATTCCTATTGTGGATCTGATATGAGTATTGTTCTAGAAACTGATTGTTATGAAATAGACTAAAGAAATATCTTATGCCCAGATTGCACTACGCTACTCGACTGGAATACTGGTGTAGCGCGGACAATTATGGGGTTCTATACAACTTGTATAATATCAAAAAATTGTTTGATTTTGACCAGAAGTAATTACGTCCTACCAGACCAGAAGTAACTATCTCTGACTTTACGATCCGAAGACTAGAGCACGCAGCCAATGAAAATAAGTATTAAGAAAAAAGGTCATTACTCATTAGGAACATATTAATAAAGTAAATCATCACAAGTGTCTTGGAAAGTACAGTCGCTAGTTATTGCTAGAGTTACATATAATGAGCAGACGACACTTTCCCGCAAAGTGTTAGAAATTGCGCATGCGTACAAAGCTCGACGGACTTTCCTCGCAACACAAGTACGCTGACATCGGAACATAAGCAAACTCCTACAGCGCAGTGTATGTCGTTGGCTCACTAGTTGTGATGCTACAGTAGTGCAGAGATTAATATTTACAACAAATAAATTAATATAATTTGCAAATATTATCATAATACTATTGATATTGATCTGATATTGATTTTAAAGTATTGTGAGCCACATACATTATTAACTTCTTTCTGTTATTTACACATTGAAAATAAAATCGTCATGTCAGTCTGTCTGTCGAGATCAAAATCTACTCAATGGGTTTTAAGCAGCGGACAGAGTGATTATAGAAGATTTATTTTATTCATACGGTTGAGTAACGGCAGGGAAACCAGGAACGAAAAGCTAGTCTATACATCAGCCAAAAGTCATCCGCTGCCGGGCGTAGACCTCTCCCAATGACTGTCGGCTCGGCTAGCTGGTTGAAAGCAACCTGCATCCAGTCGAAATCATATAAGAGTCAATTGCTACTTTAGTCTTGGCAAATTATTTTAATTTTAATCATTCGTAAAAAGTCCGAAAGATACATAATGAAAATACACGGAAGTGAAACCGAGGATGCATATAGTTTAGTATATTTCATGTACACTAAATTTCGTAGAGATCATCTAATTTGAAAAAGCTCCACAATAAGATCAATATTTTGAGCAGCTTTCATTACGAGCGGAAACAAATTGTCGAACATCTTGGAAATGGGAAAATACGGTCACAGAATTATGATGCAGGTGGTTACAGACCTCTAGAAGCTAGATATTAATGAAATTTTGACAACACTTCTATAGGAATATGTCAAAATGTAGTTTTAATTTTAGGTAATGACGTAAATTATCTACAAATGTATATAGTTAGTATGCAATAGTAACTGCCCGCAGAACACAAATGTTGGCCAACACTCGAGTTAACATTTACACTCGGTTGCCGGCACGCGGCGGCCGGCGGTTGGTTTGTGCAAACCTCAAGTACTCTAGCAGACTGTAACTAAACTGTTACTGTACATTTCCTTATGTCTTAGTTATTTAACTGCTGCATGGAGAGGGAACTCTTAATGGACGTGCTTTTTCTAGGTAGGATATAGACTCCTCGAACCCACAGGAATCTACACTTTGGAATAAGCAAGCAGGTTCAATAAAGTGGTCGTTTTAGTGAAGACATTTCTATCGATATATATATTTTAGCCTGAGTCAAATAAATGGTTTGATTTTGAGCCTTGCATGACCTGTGATGAGTACCATTCATCCACCACAGAGCACCACCAGGTACTATAGTACCATTTACTATGAACAAGTATTTTTGTTGGATGTTGAATAGTATAGTTGAAATATACAGTAACATACCGATGTGGATTATAAAAAGTAGCGCTCAGTAAGTGTCTGCCCATCATCACAGGTCAAAGGCGTGACTAATGCATTTCTATAAAGCGCAAGCTTATTGTTGTTTTGTAAACAGGATGCGAGGAACTTTGAACCGACCGCGTATCGAACTGTGGACTGCGGTAGAACACTGCATCTAATCAGCGAGCTAGCGGAGTAAATCACCGCGGATAACTTTCGTTTTCAGGCAAATTATGTAATTGTCTATTTATCTAATATTTTAGTGAATAGTTTGAGAGCCGCGCCCGCGTCAATGCGGTCAAGTTACAAGTTGCAGCGGGTAAGTGGGACTAATGCAATGAACCACGATCCGATTAGCTGGTCGACCAGAACCGTTCATACATTATGCAGCGACACACCAACACACTCGAAATAGAACCGAGTCCCTTTTACTTGCACCGCACTGTAGGTAGAGTATACCAAAGTATAACTTGTGTTGCACATCTAGATAGTAACCAACTAGTGGCATTCTCAGCCCAATAGTGATTGCTCACGTTGAATGTAGCTGGCTCAAAGCCGCAAGTTGTCTATATTTCAGTTGTGTCACTTTCAAATCGATTAGACACGATTACCAAAGACCTGAACGCGAACCAGGCCCTTGTACAATCCCTTACAGATCGAGTGACGGCCAGTACTGGCCTCCACACGCCGGACATGACAGACACAGTAAGATATCCGAGCACTGAACACACACTGCTACCGTACCGCTCAAGTCGAAGACGATGTGAGGAGCAGCGCCGGCGCCGGCGCAGGCGAGGTGGCAGAGCGCCAGTAGAGAGAGCGCGCGCGCCGCAGCCATGGTGCGCACTAACTCGCGTTGGGCGCACGCGCACCGCAGCGCTCGCCGCTTGCATAACACCGGCCTTTCATTTCTAAGCAGGGATGTACTGGACAAGTGGACACTTACCCGAGTACTCCATCACTCAACGTCACATATCTATTGTGTAGTCTTTCATGAAATTACTTATGTACAACAAAACCAGCGAGTTTGACATCATGTCATTCTAACTCAAGCACCTGGGCTTAATTTAGGGATTTTCTTTAGGATTTACTTCAACCTCCCTGAGCCCCTGCAACTTTGGTAAGCCAGCATTGAGGATCTACAGTAGATACAACCATAAAACTCCGAAACGTGAAGTCTAAAGTTTCGTTTCATCTAGTAATAGAACGACAGAACGCGTAATAATTAGCATTATTTTCAAGCATTTGTCGTTGTACCAGTACAAATGTGTTAGAATTAGAACTGCATTTCCTACATACAGAGTACATAGTGAACATAGTAGCGGCAGTGGTAGTGGATAGTGTGTTTACTGGTTACTGGAACCGGTCTGGTTTGGAAGGTCGAGCGTTGCCCTGCCGGCAGTGGGTCAAATATTTCCTTAGTTACACTCGTTCGGTGCATCTACATCCAAATCCATGCTCTAATTTCAATTTTAATAACTACTTATTGGTTTTATATTCGACACATCGTATTCATAAACTTGTGATACGGGTCTGTATATGTATAAAATAAATTTGGTTTTGAATTTGAACTGAAACTGAAAGAAAAGTGGTTGAATTAATTATCCGACAGTGATTGTTGTTTAATGAAACCAATGAGTTCAATGGAAAGCATTCGTTAGAGCAACAAGAGCATTTTACTAATAGAACAAGCGCTGACAGAGTTGTATGCCCAGTCACATACAATCACAGTCATTAATATCTGCACCATTCTCTGTCGCAACACATTTGTATTTGTTTGTATGTCTTCTTGTCAACAAGGAGTATTCTTTTGTAAGGCCTGTGTATGGATGTAGGAGTATTAATGTGCTTTGTGGAGGCGGCGTTATTGTTAGTCGAGTGACTGGCGTCAGAACAACAACAACGCGATATTAATGATGGCACCGACTCGGGTCAAACATTGCCTGCTCCAAATTGTGAAACTTTCTTGATTAATGGTTGATGAGTATTATGTAAGTAAGTATTTGGTATTAGCCAATTAAGACTCTTTACTCTAACCTACTTGAAATAAAGATGTTATGCATACTTCAATATTGTTTAGATATGAACATAACTCCAGGTGAACGATTCTTAAATTGCTATTTATGTAAGAAATAATTAATATAATACATTACAATTGTTCTATTATGCAAATTGAATACTATATGAATATTCTACTATGGGGGAGTGTGTAAAATAAGTACTTGTACAGAGGAATGTTAATACTACATGACACGCAATCTTCCTCATCCATATACCTCAGTGGTCGTTCGGTGAGTAGTGCAGCGCTTGACACTCATGCGCATCACTCGCCTCGAGAACTGGAATATCTACAGTATGCACGCACGCGCACGTACGTCACGTGCGTGCTCTGATATCATCCCCACATCCTGTATATGTAGCGATGGAACCAGTAGATAGTTCGGACCGCCTTGGCTTGGACATAATATATACATACTTTTATATAAAAATAGTCAGCTTATATCGCTACATTATTATAAAGTATGCAATTCGCATGTACACATCACACCCAGGCGCGGAATAACAATTTGTGGATTACCCAAAGAATTGTTCCGTACGAGAATGGAAGCCGCGATGCGTTGTTGTAGTGAGTACCGCAGCCACTGCGCCAACCGTGCATTCATTGCAGGGATCACATTCAGAAAAAAAGATGTCGCTACAATGAGTTTGTATTAAGACATTGTTGTAAAAGTAAAACAAGAGACTGTTGGCAAAACAATTGCATCGTGAGAGGACTCCGCTCTCAGGCTGGTCGCAAACACCATACAACACAACATGCAAGATGTTTAATGAAATTACAATAACGATGATGCAGGTGACTGACACCTGGGCGAGTTGGGCGACGCGTCGCTCATCGCAGAACAAACATCTCCTTTACAAGGAGATAATACCCTTAGCTATAGATGACAGCTAGATTATTGATACGTCATATTTAGTACTAAGTTTTACAAATGTGGAAAAGCAATAAAGACGTTATCTCCCAAATGGTTCAATTTTGTTATCAAGTTAAATATTAAATATGTAATGTCTATTGTGTTGTAGT